CCATAGAGTTGATCTTTATCATGCTTAACATCACATATAGGACATTCTTTAACAGATTGTGCTTGAAAGTTAATAAAACCATTCCCAATTTTTCCAATCTGAAGCCACCCATATTCTTCAATAACTAGATTAGCTCCTCTACTCAAAGCATTTTCATCATTAATAGGCTGAGATTCTTGTTTTACTGGCTCTTCAGAAGAAAAGGTTCGTGGCCAGATCACAGAATAATTCTCTTTAGGCTGAACCAGATAATCCTCTAGCTTTTGAAATCCATTTTTTACAGAAGAGATAGCAGGTCTTTTTATACGTCTCTCTTTCGCTGATCCAAGGAGTCGAAGATTAAAATGTGTTTTGGGAAGGCCATTATCAATAAATTTCGAATAAGGTTCCCCAACTAATTCCATAACTTTCTCTGTGAATCCCTTAAGTTCTCTATAATCTATGAATTGGGCACGAGGATAAATAATATGCCAACTGCATTTCTCAGCATTTGATGAACTTGCTAAAGCAAAAGAATTTAAGAAAGGCGTGCAATCTGGAATAAGGCTTAATGCATCTGCACAAGCAACTAAAATTCGAGATAACAAATCTTCACGGGTAATGTTTTCACTATCTAGAGAAGGATGATTAAGATTATCTGGATCAGGCTTTTGCCTTGCATCAATGTCAATTATTAAGCGAAGAGGCTGGTTACCATCAATACATTCATGAGTATTAGGTATTCTATAAACTTCTGTAGGATGATCGATCACTGTATACCCTTTTCCTACCATCCAAATTATATATTGAGAATAAATATCTTCAGGTCGATACGCATCTAAAAGCGCAGTATCATTTTTATCAGTATGGCCATTAGATGCAAGCCAGTATTTATAAAATGTATGTTCTTTATGGCCAGGTTTATAATCAAGATTTGTTAAACCCATAAAAAGCCGTTTTGCTTCATTATATTCGGCTGACTTTTGATTTAAGCACTGTTGCTGTAACGATTCATGAAGACGTTTTTTTGCTTCACTAGACAAACTCATTTTATTGATTTGTATATATGTTGTTTGTATATGTGCGTTGTTTGATCTGACAAAAAGTATATAATGCGTTGGTTTATCAACTTATAATAAAAGCGACATAAAAAGTTTAATTCGAAAAATAATTATTTCATATATGCAAAATTTGAAAATTATTGTTATTAGTAATGGCATTCTATTCTTGCCCACATATTTATATTGATGGACGAATTTGTGGAAAAGGTTGTTATCGACAAGAGGGTTGTGCTCTTCATTGGAAAATGCAAGTACGGGTTCCTTGTGGAGAATGTGGCACACCAACTGCCTCTACATACGGTATGTGTGTTAAACATGCTGGAAAATATCGCAACAAATCAAATTATCATAAAAAGAGACAAGCTGAATTACTCGCAAAATATAATCATGAGAATAGATATTCTCTATATGAGGCATAAAGTACTATAAAATTAAGTAAAATACCTTGATATATTGTTATAGGGAATTTTTCTTGGCATCTGCGTTCCGAAATAGAACGGAGTCATGTGTTTTTTTTCTGGCTTCGATGGTCAGTTACCCATACGTAGCCATATACCATCTTTTTCTGAGCATGGGAGGAAAAAGCATAATTAATTTCGATTTGAAAAAAGAATCTCCATAGTATATATCAGACGAAAGTAGTCTATATAAAACATCTCAACCAACATATACTAACCATGGCAAAAATCGCTACATCATTTGTAAATTGCTACAAGTTGACTCCTCAAACTAGTTTACCCCAGCTTAGTAGTTATACCGAAGAGTTGGCTAATAAACTTTCAGATGGTAAGACAAAAGAGCAGGCCCGAAAAGCCAGAGATCAGGCTAAAAGACGCTTCCAAGAGTTGGGGTTGAGCAAAGAGCAAGCTGATACTCTTATTCCTATTCGAGCTCCTGGGAGACATGTTGATGAAAGAGATCCCATTAAAATTATTGCCCAAGATATTATAAAAAATAATCTCTTACCTGAAGAAATAAATGGAATAGCATATGACTTGGCTTCTTCTGCTCCCACTACTGTTGCGTGAAATTCTCGTCTTAATTTATTACGGAAAAAATTGCGTAGCTTAGGAGCTGATTATCTCATCATTGAGGCAACGAAAATACCCTTTATTACTGAAGAAGCAAATCAGATTCAAGCAAGAAAGCGTATACTTCGTGGAATTAATGGTTATGATTGCCCTGAGTTCTTTTACCTGGAAAAGGTTCAGAAAAGACTTAGCGAATGTGATACTACCAAGCCTCCTTCAATGCAAAATCTAATAGACGTAATGATAATGCTATGTATGCGATCAGCAGATGTGAAAAATCTTCGTATCAACCGATACAAACCAAGTCGCGAGTCATGGTATAATCCTGACTATTCTTTGTATTGCACCGGTTATGCGAAAAATAAAGGTGAAGTAGAAGAACCCCGGCCCTTCCTCTCAATGGAAAAAAATCCAATACGAGCAAGAGAATTGCTCATCTGGATCCAGAAATCAATACCAGATAAATTTCCCTTCTTGTTAAAAGATAAGGATGGAAATACTAATGTTGTACCACTTAATCAATTCTTGAGTCGTCATAGAATTATGTTAAGAAAAATAGGTGCCGATCATGCTTCCAGAGTGCATGAAGGTAAAAACGATTCCCGTCGTCAGTATTTGAGACAACTGGCATGTAGACACAAAATAGGCCACGCTTTATCAGTTGAACATTATGGCGTGATGAATGACAGACCAATTGCTCCAACGACTAGAGAGAGCGGAGCTCATTGTTCCACAATAGAAAATACTGAGATATCAGATATTATAGATCTATACAATTACTAATCACGCTTCTTTACTTTTACCACATCTACAGTAAAATCTTCATCATCATTAGACGATTCAGAACTAGACCCAGACCCAGATGAGGATGAGGACTCAGATGCTGTATCATTAAAAATTAGTTTTTTCTAGCTTGGCACTTTCTTATGACCTCACATTGAATACGTTTTTTAGGAATATCTGGGTTTGCTATCGAGTTTATAAGTTCTTGACGAGCCTCGGGTTTCACTATCTCCAGTAATTGGTGAAGAGAGATCCAGATTTTCTTATCCAATACTTGCCTACGAATACTGGATACCACCCTATAATTATTCTGAGATTCGTGGCTATCTCCAGGTCCATAAGGGGGCGCCTCTTTGAGGTATAATTTCCACTCCCAATTTTTTGGCAAATTCTTTAGTTATAGTTGACCAGTTAGTGCTTGATTCGATAGTAGGTTTAGTTGTTGTTGATGTCATAATATTATTTATTAATACGAATTTAAAAATGCAGAATTAAATATATTGTTATAATAAAACATCACGATGAGAATTTTATCTTGCGAAATTAACAAAGTACCAGTTAAAACTATATTAGGTACCGCCAGCAATTGTAATATTATAGCTGAGGATGTGGTAAATGAATTAGGTTTAGAAATCGATGATATCTCTGATGTAGAAGTATACACACCCATTGGCAAACTCGATGTAGTAGGAGTAATTCGTGAAATCCCTATTTCAATCCTGTCTCAGGGCCCTAAATGGAAACAAGTAAAAGTTACCGATGTTTTCGTTACCAATAAACCCGAATTTGATTCTGTACTGATATTGGGTCAGCCGTGGTTCCAGGAAAATGCAATGAAAGTGGACTTCCCAAATAAAACTCTTACATTGCTCGATGGAACTAGTTGTGTAATTAAGAATATCCAGAAAATGCATAGTATATATGCCTAAAATAATTATCCGAACTCAGTTATTTTTTCAATCGAATATATATCACATAATATATCTTACCATGAAAATAGCCAAAGCTAAATTTAGAGATCAAGAAGTCAACTGCTGTCTCGAACCGGGATTTTTGGGGCCAACTATATGTAGCGATAAAATTCTCAAGCATATTGGTGGGAAAATCACTAGACGGATAAGTTCTGAAGATAAAGATAGTAGATTTTTCAGGGAGATGACTACACATCCGATTGGATGGACCGTGATTCCACTTACTTTTACTTCAAGTGTAGAATGTAGTCGATTTAGCAAACAATATACATTTATTACAATTCCAACCCAGGTATTAATCGTAAAACATCATCCCGAATTTCCCAATCATATCATGTTAGGGTTTGATTGGTTCACTGGTCGAAAATATGATGATGAAGAGCTCCAGATATATAGAGCAGAAATTGTAACTGACGCAGAGGATGGTTGGGTAAGGACAACTCTTCGTATCAAAAATCTTGCCGAAAGAAAAGGAAAATCCATAGTAGTACCTGTGTATGAATTTGATAGAAGCGAAGCTTCATTGCTACGCAATAATCAGTCGGGTTCTTCTGATTCCCGCTTACAGCAAAATAAAAGCAAGAAAAATAAGGTCAAGTATTCTATTATAGAATCGGAACCGGATACTAACTCTGATACTTCTGAATCGGGCATTTCTTCGTCTAGTTCGGGATCAGAAGATACACACATATATAAGAGCGTGCGATGTCGCAAAGTAAAAAAGAGAAATTAATTATCCAAGCATTGGTTTTTTCATTAAAGATATATAATAATACATTATTTGAGAATGGTGCAACTGAATATATTTGATTTACCAGAATTACTAGAACAGATCTTATATTTTTTAGAAATTGATCGATCCCTCTATCCTGCTTTATTTCTTAACCACTTTTGGTACCACTGCGGTGCTCCTATTCTATGGCGTCGCATTGAGTTTTTTACAGAAAATGATTATCAGAGGGGTTGGCATGGTCGAAAGATGCCTCGAACTCTTACCCGGCAATTGATAAATTTTAAAAAAGCTATGTGTGGAAAAATAAAGCCAACCTATTGCTTTAAAATGGTATATCTCAGATTAGAAGGTTTGAAAATCTCAGATGAATTGATTAGTACGATTCTATGCTCATGCCCAGATATACGCACTCTCATTCTTGATCGAAGTGTTGGTTTTTCTAATATACCTATTATAGAAATTGCGAGATTTTGTCCGAAACTAATACACCTAAGTCTTAATTCATGTAAATGCCTTACTAATCGATGTATCACTGAAATAACACGTTCATGCCCAAAACTTAGACATCTTGAGCTTGGTGATTGCTCGATTAGTAATAAAGCTATCGAGGAAATAACCCGTAACTGTACTAATTTAAAATATCTTAGTTTGAAGGGATGTAAAAGGATTAGTGAAGAAGTGATAAAAAACTCAATCCAAAAATTAAAATCGAATATCCTGATTATTCAGATGAAAAATGGTCTGATCCACCTATTCTAATCTTTAGAGGTCCATCGTTAGATAGAACAGATTTAATTTCCATGTTCAGAGAGATTGGCGGGATTAATCTTAATCATCCATGGTTTACAAATAATTTTACTTAATGTTGAAGAATAGAGCGGGTAATCGGGTATTTGACACCCTCCAGCTAATTTCAAACAAAGAATTTTTATTTGCTGTGATGTATATATATCCGTGATAATTTTTCTTGTTTTACTTTTGATTCTAGACATGGGCACTGATTGGCACTAGCCGATTTTTTGACGAAAATTTCATGCAATTGTTGAGGAGAGACATTTGGAAATAATGGTAGTCCCTCACCAGTAAACCAAAATTTTTTTACCCCTATATCAGCGAATTTCTTTATTAACACACCTAGATCATCTTCTAAGGGGCCGTGAAATTTCTCAAATCTTTGGAGGTACACTCTCGCATTTTTATCGGCTTCTTCTGCCATTTCGATTAGTATAGCCAACAATGCCGATTTTTTCCTGAATTGTCACTATATCGTCTTCTAAGCATAAAAGCAGTATATAAACTAGAAGTATGGCATTCGCAAAACTATAATTTATACCAATGAGGGAATCAAAGTAACGAAGTAATACAACTGAATAAGCATTTCGTTAGTCTTGTTCATCCATCATATCAATATTAGCAACAATAACAACAACAACATGTATCATCGTCGTAACCTTCATAACCTTCTTCATTAACATAATCTCAACTGGGAGTTTATCGAAATAATTTTGGTTTTTTTTTTATTATAGTCATCAGAAGACTCACATTTTCATTGTTAATTGTATTAACACGAAAATTCTTCTAAAAGAAGCTCCTCATTTTATAGCTTCTCTGAAACAATAAAGACAGAAGTAAAAAATTAATTATCTTTAATAAAAATATGAAAAAAATAATTTCATTCATGTCGATTTCTCCACTAATAAGATCACTAATTATATCTTCAAACTAGAGCAAAAGAAGACCCTCTATATCTTCACAAGGGATGGGACAATATTTTAAACTTAGAAAAATAGAACTATATAAATGGGACGTATATGTAAAGCAAAGCAAAACAACACTATCTTGGCTGACGTTTCAAGATTATTTGCTGAATTTCGTAAAGATCAATGATAAAGTTACCATCAGGAATTGCAGGATGAGAAACCAGTGGAACATATCCGATAGCTGGAATAGGTGGGTCATAAAATACGTCACTTATTGGAATGTTGATCTGATATGCTGGAATGCCTGGAGCATTACACCCAGTAGGTCGATTACTACGTTTTTGCACAGTCCCAAAATGCCACTATTTTTTAGACATATTAATATACATGTAAATATCGAAAAATAAAATAATGATAAACAGAATCTCTAAACAGTTTATCATTACTTTTCTGGTTGGAAATCCCTGTCTCCATAATGTAGCCTAATATTTAAAAAGTTTTTTAGAATGTCAACTACGAAACTATAATAAAATAGTCAATAGTAAATAGATACATGCCTTCATCGATCGATTAAATTGTCCATGTGTATTTCGTGTAGTTCTCAAATCATAAATCTTTATTCCTAATACACATCTCACATACATCTGACTCATCCAAAGTTCACACTTTTTTCTCAATCCACGGTCATCTTGACTAACTGCAACCTCACATATTATTCTAGCATGAGAATTCCCCTACAAAATACAAAAGTATATGTATTAGAAAATTGCATACAAAACAGATAATGATAATATACACCAAATTCAATGTACCATTGTGTCGCTTGGGGGAGGTCCAAGATTGAGAGGTCCAGAATCGGGAGGTCTTGAAACATATGCCTCATCTGGATATATTGCAATATCCGGGGCAATGTCAAGTCCATCTGCATTTGGTGAAGGATGAACTATAAAAAGGATGTAAGATATTAGAAAATCCATAAAAAGTCAAAGATCAAGCAAGCTTAAAATTTCTTACATGGTTGACCCCTAATGAGTATTGGTGGATTAATAATAACGCCACCATTTGGAATTTTGAAATAATCTTGCAACAGTGCAACAACGGCCTCGTGTACTTCCGTGCACACATCAATAATAATAACGTCGCCGTTATTATACTCAAGCTTGTACCCAGACGGTTTACGGCTTTCAAGAAATTTGTTGTACTTTTTTATCGATATATTGGAAGCAATCTTAAAAGGTAAACTGCAATTCAAATGAGCTAACACCAAGTGGGACTTAAAGTAAAAGATCACAGTTATATGATATAAAAACATATGTTACCTATTCTCCTCTATGAGTTCCTTTGGAAATTCTAGAAGTTGAAAATGTTCTTGAAGTTTCTTAGTCAAGTTACGAAACATTTTGAAAAAGTTTGAGAGAAAAATACGAAGTGGTGGTTTTGTAGAAAATTACGTAGTAGTAGTTAAGGGGTTATCGATCACAAGTCACGAGATATTTGAAAGGCACGGGAGTTAGGGAATATAATGCGCTTGCGGAATACATTTCGATAGGTAAGCAATTTTAACCAACCAACGAAGTGATAGAGCTTTTATTTTTTTGTTTCGCAGTTACTAGGCACTAAACGAACTCCATTTTGCGATGCAGATATATTTTAGAGACAGTCAGCCACCTCATATGGAACCTATAAATGAAGAAGGGGGTTATATTTCGTCCTGCTATGCAGAATTTTGTTTGAAAAAGTAATAAATTTATTGCAGAGCAATGGTTCTTCGAACCCACCGGTTATATTTTTTTGTTATTTCCAAGTTAATGATATGTCTGATATTCGATCAACATATCCCACAGAATAAAATCGAAGGTCATGCATGGATGTAATCGTGTGACCTGAAATCGATTGCGTAACGCAAATATTCAATCAACAGATCACATGCTATTTCGCGAACCACCGCAATGCGAAAAAAATGTTCGGTAATACAAATTTCACACTTTTGTTGTTATCACTATGTCAGCTACTCAAATGTTCTCTCATTTCAATGCAACCATCAAACGTGAGCCTTCGCTTTTCGGAACCAACATCAAGCATTTGGCTAATTATGTAGTGTAAGGCTTCTTCGTTAATGCCTTATAATTTCTCACAAATTTGTCGTTCATATAACACTAATGTACTGTCCTTAGTCTTTCGGAATAATGATTGCGAGTCGTATATTATATGATGGATTATTGCGTCTTGGCTTGCAGTTTTCTTTTTATCGTGTGGTAAGCATTAAACTCACAGTTTTTTCGAACAAGTGTATTAACGATGTAAGTCAGATCTATGTACAGTATGTTTGGAATAGAAAGGAAGTTAGTACATAGGAAGTTAACGCTATGTTATCTTAATGCAGTATACCAATCTCAATCAATAAACGATCTATAAATGTTCAATGAGTACAATTTACGTTTTAACTTGTATTTTAAACGCATGAGATATACCATCTTATTATTATGGTTATAGTTAGCATAACTTTAACCAGTAATTACTAAATGGTTTTGGTTGCGTTTATACGGTCAAGATTTTGCTATTTATCAAGTCTATAAATGAATAATAACGCAATAATGATGATAAGACGCGTTTACCTTGTTATTTGTGCCGTGGCCGAGTCATTTTGGATGCTCCGACCCGAACATTCCACGTGATCCGAACCATTTTTTTCGCTATGGCTAGGATACTAGCCGTATCCCCCACACTCACGCCTACTCCGCTCCCTCCAGTCCACAGCCATACTCACTCTCTGGAGTGCCTTTACTTCGGGCACAATCCCACCCCATGCCATGACAGATTTTTTTACACTTACATTGTAGACGATCACCCAATCAAAATGAGGCGATTGATAATGCGCCGTTCTATATCTGGGATAATCGTTACATAATCTACAGTATTTCAGGTGTGAAATCTATTTCGGGATGTACTACAAGCATATAATTAATTTCCCGGTGGACTCGATATTCTATCATGTGTCCGAAAAAATAACACGTGATAATTAGGATATAAGATACACAACATCCCGCACGACTAACAACTACTTATTTATCGCTATAATCATTTCGGCCATAACACGTGATTATCCGTATCGAGTATGAGCTTGCTTATCCTTGCTAATTCAGGCTGCTTCTTCTGACATATTTTGAAATGCGCTAACCACTTTACTTTGTACCTTTTTCAGTGCCACCATATCGCTATTCGCTATTCACGTTAGCCAATCAAACGTTTCCATGTTTATTTATAGAAAAAATTTTTTTGTTAACGGCTACGTACGTACATATAATAAATAAATAAGTTTTCCTTGTAAATGATATGTTACGATTGTCAATTGGAGAAAGGAATTCATTTCTCAAAAAAGTTTATGCTTATGCGTAGAGACTAACTATCGCCATGTTCACTATTTCCACTTCCCATAAAAAAAGCTACACACTTTGAACTATTATTTGCAAATTTTGCTTGTGGTAAACCTCCCCCCATTGCTACTGCAACAAATTCTTCTTGTTGCCCTAATTAGTTATAAGATTTCTCAATCTAGGATATATTCGCATTGGTTAATCTTACTCTCCCTTGTATCACTAACGCTTTTTCTTATTGTCAAAGCATTGGTATCACAAGCATATGGATTGTATGAAACGTTACATCCTATTCCATACTAGTAAAAAAAAATACAAGTTTCTGCTTAGTTCAATTACTGTACAAATATATACTAACATTATTGCGCTGATCCTGCGAATATACCTGTTTTTAATACACTAAATAGAGGGAAACGCCCTGTATACTCCGTCCCTTGTGTATATAATTAAGCCGCCTTGTATCGGAAATCGTAAACGCATGACAGCCAATTGCAAATGAAATCTACTTTGAAAATTAAAACAGCCCATCACAATGTCGATTGATCAAATACATTTGCTCAAAATGATAAGCCTACCAACCATTACAATATCAATTTTCAAACCGCTCTCGACTGTATATTCCGAAAAATATGTAAAAGACGATCAGAAATTAAACCCGCTTTCTTCGCAATATCAATCGATTAAATGGATTTGCCCAGGGTATCTAATAGCTTCTTTGCGCTCATGCTAAGCTTATCAGCCATTACAGCATCAATTGTTCAAATTCGGTTCTTATCCAAATTTGTATTTGTACCGAGTTGTATCATGCAATGATTCAAACTAATGGGAATAATTAATTGTACGCTAGTTGAATGAAAAAAAATATATTGTTAACATATTTAGTCAATTAGAAACATTTATAAATGTGATTAAATAATTGTAAATCTGCAACTCACCATTATAAGCAGTCTAATAATCATGACACAGGGAATAATCAATATTGTTGATCTATCCGCCTTACAACAAGAATACGAGACTATCATAGATTTCACTGCTGCTAATTATCCATCCTTTCTCTTTTGCCAGAGGCATTTCCCCTTACACCACAAAGCGCATCAATTAATTCTTCACAACCTTCTCATACTGTAGTATCAAGATCTGCAACAGTCGAATTGCAATATAATGCAAATGACTCACCTCATGTTCAATATTGGCGTCCGTCATCTCACTTAATTAGTTCGTCCGCCGTTTGTGTATTATTATTTTTTATTGCTGACATTTTTTTGCTCATCTAAATATAATGTTTTAGTCAGTTTATGTTAACTTTTCTTAAAAAGTATCGTTTTTTATTTAATACTTTTCTCGTTGAATAACCTCAACGAAACAGTATTCTTTATTATTGCGAGTATATACGATTTGCATCTCGAAGCTGTTTTTCTTTTAAACATCGTTATCTATATAATAAACAGTAATGGGTTTGAGCGTTGAGCATTTTTCCATCCTGTGATATACACTTTACCACCATAAATAAAAGTTTTATTATCTATTGTAATTATCTATTTTAGTATCATTCTACGCATGTACAACGTAGTTTACTAATTAATCAAAAGGAATTATCTCATCCCATCAATATGTTTGAAATTTATTTCCGTATTGTGTACAGTTTGCCACGTAATCGTTGCGCTGAGGAGGCGAAGCCTCTTAAATTAATTTTCATTCTAGTTATAATAATAATAATAATAACAATGGAGCGTAATTGTCTGTTCTGTGTATGTGTAACTGCGATAAAAATAACATTAGTTCATCGAGCCAAGAGTTGGCCAGCTGTATGACAATCACATTTTGTATGTATAATATGTCATACGAATTATCGCGTAAATAGCATCAACAATCATATTCCTGTTTAAACTGTCACCTGTGCCTTCAACTTGATGTTGTATTCAAGATGTTACTGTATCAGCAGTTATCATTCATGCTGCGTCGTTGGAAATATATAAAAGGCTTTAACCAAATATGGGATGATCTATCAAGTCATCAATGAACTAGATGGTATTACTATGCCCATTGATTGCCAAATTGTATTTATAATTCCTAGTTCGATTAGTTCGATGAACTGGTGACACACTATTCTTATTCTTATCCTTATGAATGCCCGTCCGGGCCGACGTTCCGACAAGATTGTTCAGAAAATTCATCTGATATCAATACAAATTCTAATAACAGTTTCAACCTTACACATTTGCGAGACTAATAGCCCAAGTCGAACGTTGGACAAGAGATATATTAATTAATATGGCATCTTGTGGTTCTATAAAGCAAACGTAAAACCCCAACATATTATGAAGTTTACCAAATTTGTGTGATAAATGTTAATAACTCAACAGGAAATAATATTGGATTGAAAATATACTGCGTCTACGACTGCAGCTTCAACAACACTCTGTGGCTATACAGTTTCTAATAATAGGTAGTTCGGTTACACGCTGTTTCATCACACGACTCACAATCGTAATTATTGTGTCTACCAAATTCCTTTTCGGGACTCATATACGTAAAAAATGGATATAAAAACTCAGTCCTCCTCTTCGCTTCGCTTAAAATCATGGCGATGAGTAAATTGAGCAAATTGAGCAAGTTGCCTATAGAACTCAAGATAGAAATTGCGAGTCACGTGGAAACACTTTATTTTCTTGGATGTTGCTCACGTGATTGGAACATCATAATAAATTCGCCACATACAAAGTATAAATGGTTACTCAACAAATACGGCTGCATTCATGCATTGTCTCACGCTGTACGAATCGGCGAACCATTGTTCAATTTGGAAATGGCTGAACTTTTATTAAAGTATTCCAATATTAGTCGACATTTTGTTCAACGTCTCAAACTTGCATATGGAAAGCACGGCGGGTGGGGTAATAATATTTCCAACAATGTATACGAAAGCATTCTTAATTTCAAGGAGGGATATGGAAGCGACAACCGTAATGATATGCAGTCAATTCGTCAAATATTGGAAGGAACAGGAAACGAAGACGATATCATAGCAATGATTGAAAACTATGGTTTTGCACCGTTTCCGCCGAGTTTCACTTTCAGAACATATATCTTTGAACATCTTGCCGAATATAAAGATGAGCTTCCACAAAACGGTTATGCAACAGCCTCTGAATTGAGGACTGTGGCTAAGGTGATAATCACTTATCCAAATCTGCTGAAAGTCTGGAAGAAGATAGGCTATCACGAAATAACCAAGGATTTGGAAAACCCGTTGTACAAGTCACTTTACTAAATCTTTATTCAACCGGTGTTCCTTCAGTCCAAACAGTTGCTGAAAAACTATGCGATTTACAATCAATTGGATTTTCACTGACCGACACTCTGGTTGGAAATGCTATTCTTCTATTCAAAGGGAGGTTAGTCGACGTCGGGGAGAGTCTCATTGAAAGCTTTTCTATTGCCCGAGAATTATCCAAGGAAGACATACTTGATATCTGCTTGATAGAATTGCTTAATCCAACAAGAAATCTTGAACAATACGATGCACTGGATTATATCATCAATTTGATTAATGATCCCGAAAAGCAAATTCTCTCTGCATTTGAAAAGTACAGTATTGTCGAAAATGGAAACAACCCATTGCATTCCCACTCTCATAGATTCCTTAAATATTCACTTGTAGTGTATCGATACATGTTAAAGTTCGGTGCACAGTCTCCAGTTGTTAGATACTTGATGAAAGAAATTATAGTTGTCCATACACAGCTTACCAATATGGAAAATGTAGACAAATTAAGAGATGCAGATACTATCCTCGACGAATACTATACTGCAAATGTACCTTTCGAACAATCGCTTTTTTCGCTCTTCAAAGAATGCTCGCGTACAAAACCAATCAGCTATTTATTTGAAAGATATCTACCAACGCTGTTCGGATTTGAAGTCCAACATCAATCGTTTATGATATCCAAAATCCCAGAAGTAGATGCACTTATGTCACCCACGCAGACGGAAGAATTGAAGAAACTTTGGTTGGATGACATTCAAAAATGTGTTAAATCAGAAGAATTAGTAAACGACGAATTTAGAAAACAGATTACTGAGTTTTTTACACTTTACGATTTGTCACATAGCAGTTTTGATCATTATGAGCAGCTTTATGAAGTTTATTGGTAGATACTAATTAAGAATTTGATTTTTCCTCGATGTATTATTTAAAATGCAATTTTTATGGATAAATAAGGGTAATTATGCAGAAAATATATTCGGTTAATTACAAATGTCGAGAGGTCTTGGGAGAGGCTAGTTAACTTACCTTGAAAAGTGTTTCGTCTACAAATACCATAGACATAAAAGCAATGATGTAATTTGTGTGACCCAGCCTTTGTGCGAGACAATATAGATTTGGTTTACCTTGCAATCCCAACGGAGGTGTAGTGTAAGAGATAGTAAATCTTTTTAATTAAGAAGAGTAATCGAGAAACATACATAGACTTTGTTTGTTTATTTCGTAAATTGCATGTGGAAAAGTTCAGAGTTTTTTACACACAGACGCATGGGTAACCTATATAATTCGTCAACTACGAAATAATGACCTCACTATTACATCAGAGTATTATTAATACAATAAACGAAGGCCTCCCGTGAATAAAAGGTTGTAATATTATTAAATAGCTGGCCCTTACCCCCCGAAAATTATATGAAACATGTAGTTTGTGATTATGTAGTTATAACATGGACAATTGTTATCATCGTAGATCATTTTGCATTGCGCAACCAATGAAGGTGGGTCCTTGTTTACGATAATGACAACCATTATCATTATCTTTGTAAATAAATTAGTGGTTGCAAATAAGTATTGTATACAGTAATAGGAATTTCACGGTCCAGGCAGACACTCTGTCATATTGTAAAAATTCGGCCTATAGATCAGCTTCTTTCAATTAAGTAAGCTTTCGGTTCCAAGAAAGAACTTCGTACTAAGCAAACCTATTACATCGATACTCTGTTATGCCGACTATCAACGTATCTTGGCTAGCAAACTCTGGTAGATTAGATTTTGATGCAAGAAATATATACGTCAACAAGGGCTGAGATTGGAGATAAAAAGTTGGTCGGTTTTTTAATTAATATTATCAACGGGAATTTGTTTGATATTATACTTTTTTCAGTAATCTACAGTATTATTTGTAATGCATGTTGTGCAACTGTTGAAGAGTTATTTGTTTTAGAGTGAGCCTTACTTATTGACAAGCACATATGAATTGTTCTTAATCTGTAACAATGGTAACAGTGGGATTGATTGTGGTAAGGCAAGCTTCGCGGCCCGCCAACAGTGCTGCTTTTCCGGCTTCTATAATTCAATCGTTGATACAACGTCGTCGTCGCTTGCGCATCTGTGTTAACGGGAGGGAGAACAGATCTAATACAATATAATATACTTGCTACACAAATTTAAGTTTATCCATTGCATGAGGTTTTATATATATATAAACGTATTAATTGGCTTTGGTTCTTTTTAGTAACAAAGGGTATCATACATAAACTATTTACGTTCTGTCTATTACAAGAAAAAAGCAACAGAGATATCTGGCGTTCTAAACTGATACTCAGATTGTGTCGATGCCATATGCATGATCGATCACATGCTGTATTTGTGTAGCAATAGAATCTGCTACTTACTGTGCCAACAAAAACTAACGTCTCTTCTTTGTTTGTAATACCACTGTATATCAATCCGCCAATTTGTTATGATATTATGATGTGCTAGAGGTCAAGTGACAATTGTAATGCGACAGACAAAATTGCGATAATATCATAGAAACTCGTAAATATATGCCAATTCTTCTGGTTAAGGGTGTTAAAAAGCCTCTGATGGATACACAGACGGCTTGAACTTGAATATTATCACACGGCTATCGGAAGAAAATGGATATTATAAGGTAGTAAGCAATTTTAATGACTTGTTATACGAAGCTTGTTGTTATCGTTCAGTTTGCGGTAATTAATTCAAAGTCGTTGACAAATTAAGCGATTTGATATTATTTGAGCATTAGCCATACTTTTATCTATGAAGCTTTGCCCACAAAATAGATATCAAAGGGTGTGATCTATTTTTGCATCGTCGTTAAATCAAATAATAGATTCGTTTCTGCATCGATTTTCACATCGATAAGTTGTTGTATATAAATAGGAATGATTGTAATTAATGTTTGTTCTAAATACAACCCATGACCGTCACACTTAATCGTTCCATATGACTATATAATTTAAGAATGCTCCCGTCTTTGAATCGTGAGTTAACTTTTTATAGGCAGATTCGTTACTTTTTTGGATGTCGGTTTAAGCATATTTGGTAATTATTTTCCTATATGGCTAAAGAACGACTAAAATTTTGGAGTCGTTCTTCCTATATTATATTATATTATTATACAGTAACTGTAAATAAAAGTATTAATATTAAGTATAAGTATAAGGATAATAAGAATGGAAAGTGAACTAAAAGAAGTTGGGTTTTATTAAAACCGCTGAGGTTGGGAACGAATATCGTTCTTGAGATGTCCTGACATTCACCCGACATTGCCTGATCGTGTTGAAATCTTTGATCTGCAGTTCAACGGGGAAGATAATTGATCTGTAATTTTCGGCAGAAGATGTGATATTTTAAAGAAATAATTTCATTTGAAAACCGTTTATGTGTCAAATAAGCTTGATAGAAGACACATATCCAAGGTAATATTATCGATATTTATTATAATATAAGTAAACAGATAAGTCAAGACGTTTCCTTATGTATTGGATTAATAATGTCATAGAGATTTCATATAAACTATGGAATTTTATCCATTAAATTAAGTATTCAATACATATAAGACATTCTAACAAATCGATGCATTGATTTCGTGAAGGATCTCCTTACTAAGCGACGACATCAGTTGCATCGACAGTCCGTTATATCAAATTTCTCCTGTCGATCCATTCACGAATGCTGTCAAATTATTTGGATTGCTGTTAATATGGTTATATTATAACTAGCACTATAAAGAGTTTTATTATTACATCAATAATTTGATCGAATAGATACCTTCGCTTGCACGTACGTGTACACGTGATATAAATTGCAAATGTTCCGATGCGCATTGGGAAAACGTTTGAGGAAAAAATGCTAACAAAACTAGTCATTACATCAATTTATTGCAAAAAACTATGACAAATAATTAAACCAGAATATACTATTAAATCAACATTACTACAAATTACATCAATAAGGCACAATTGTTTTAACTAATTGTATTTTATGTGGTTATTTTCTTTTGATTACTTTTCTATACTGTTACGGTCGGGAATTAAATTGGGGAATTTGGGAGAGTGATTTATCTTTTCGTGTAGGTGTGTTCGCCGACCGGGGGATGTTAACAGGCTTAGCTCGTACTATCGCCCTTACTACAATAGTTGTGCAATTAAGACTGAATTAAGCCTCAAGTGACCTATTTAATTATGCGCGCTTCTCACTCCCTATCCGAGT